CATTTTACAGGATATACAAACAAAAAGGAGAAACAAAAGAGAAACAATATCAATATAATATTGAACAAAAAGAAAAGAAGTACATAAGGCAAACACTAATTAAAAGCATGAATAAAAAGATAAGACTTTAGATGCAGAAACCTCTTCCCATTTTTTCCACAAACTTAGCTGTCTAAAATACATATAAAGTAAAATTAACTCAAAATTCATGCTGTATAACACTTTAAAATCAATTAAATATGTTAGCTCATAGCTAAAATACTTTGACTACATTTGTTTATTTCATCCTTTCAAGGCTAACTTGTTATCTTCTGTGTTTCAGATGTGAAGATTATTGGCCTGAATGACAATGAGAGACTGACCCTGCTCCAGGGGTGCCCAGGAATCCCTGGAAGCCCAGGAAGCCCGGGAACAGCAGGTGCTCCTGGATCTCCAGGCTTGCAGGGACCACAAGGCCCTCCAGGTAAATCCAGACTATTCTGGATTCTTCTTCCATAATCACAAGTTGCTTTACTGTGATTGACACAAATCTGTCAAATCTGTCAAAATTGACACAGATTGACACAAATCTGCTGTTTTTGACATTATTAAAGAGGATACCAAATGCTTAATTCAAATTTCTTTAAGTCTGTCTTCACAAAGCCTCTTCATACCTAATAAATGAATTGAGGTCTTCAATAGAGGACTGCAGTACAGACCATTGGACTTTGGACTTAGCAATAGTCAAATATATTTTAAGGTCTTATAGCCATTTTTGCCATGTGCCCAAGACATTAAAATAACATTACAAATGTACAGATTCTCTGCTGTTAGTATGAAAAGGTACACGGTCTCAGAAGTATATGTGTACAGTTAATCTAATCACCTCCATGCTGGTTTTAGCTGTCCATGAAGAAGTTGAATCTTCCATTTTAACTGTGCTTCTACGTTGTAGGTCCTAAAGGACCACAAGGCGAGCCTGGCATGATGGGACCCAAAGGTAAGTAAATGCTTTTCTATTATTTATGATATTATATAGGAGCCCAAGATGAGTGATGGATCCCCACCCCAACCATGGATATTGTGACAAGAACAGGCGTTGTATACTGCAAATATAATTTCTGGTTACAGTTTTACAGTACAGTTTGTCTTCCCTAAAGATCCCCCATAACTTAACTATTGAGGCCATTTTGTCACCTCTCCATCTGAACTGCTGTGTAGTGGTGCTGCTTGCATGTACTGTACAAAGGTTTACTGAGGATGAATCCACTAAGTCAGACTCAGAGCCTCAAGTATCATAACAATGAATGTGTTAGGCTTAATGTACTTCTTGTATCTTTGTAGGAGACAAAGGAGATCCCGGGGTCCAAAGTGACAAAGGTAAGTTAACAAATGTGAATTTTACCCACATAATCAAGAGTATAACCATGAACAAAATATATCATATATCATAATGATGGATGGGAAACCAAAATAAAATGACCACAGTGAACCAAAATTATTATGCATATTAATAACAGAAAAGCATCGTTTTGTGTCTTAGGTTATAGCAAAATCTCAAGAAATTTGGTTGCATTGCTGAGATTGGTGTGGAAAGAATTGCTGCCAGCGTGATGTCATCGTTCTTCCAGGCGCTCAGAACTGTAAGGAGCTGCTGGACCAGGGGAACTACATGAGCGGCTGGTACACAGTGAGGATAGCAGGAGGAAAAGCCCTCCAGGTGTTCTGTGACATGGAGACGGACGGAGGCGGCTGGCTTGTGAGTGAAATCTCACTTCTAAGAGTTAGAACATTTGAATGTGTAGCACCTCATTTCTGGGCAGATTCATTCACTAAGTAATATATTGTGTGTTCAAATAATAAAGTAATTTTTTAAGATAAATTATTACTACTTTCAAAACATACACATCAAAAAATCTCAAACACATTATGAAATAATTTCATGCCCTTGCTATGTATCAGGTTCTGAACAGAAATATTATTTTTTTTGTTTTAATTACACAAAAGCCTAATAGGTTTTTAATATACAGTATGTATTAAGATATCATTATAAGGAAATATAAGACTTAATAAACACATATACTGTACTTTAGGGGAACAATATGAATTAAAATATAAATATTAAAAAAAATGGAAAATAACAGGAAATTTAGTTCTCTAAAAAGACTTAGAACTAAAGAAAATCAATAGCCATGCAGCCACAAGGAGAGCATGCAAACTCCACAAAGACAGTGCCTTGCTCCAGAATTAAACCCATGACTGAAATGTGACAGCTCTGCTACACACCACATAACCAAGCTGGCGTACAACCAGATGTATAAAATCATATTTTTAGGAAATGTGATTGTTGTCCCTTAACCTACTGCTACAGTATATGAAGCTACAGTATGAAAAACCAGTGTCCAGTCAAAATAAATTTGATTCAAATTTATTTTATGGATTATCTTTCATTGACTTAATTTTTCTTAAATATTTGTATTGGTGAATTTGAGTGGTGAAGTGGCACAGTGGCTAGGATTGCTGCTTTGCAGCACTGGAGCCCTGGGTTCAATTCTGGACCTGGAGTGCAATCTGCACAGAGCTTGTATGTTCTCTCTGTGTTCAAGGGTTTCTCCTGTTTCCCTTGTGTGCTACAGTATCCTCCCACAGCCCAAAGACATACTAAAGGTTCATTGGCTTCTGGAAAAACATGTCTTTAGGTGTGAGTATGTGCTAGCATCATGTCCAGGGTGTACCCTGATTTGTGCCTGTTGCTTGCTGGGATAGGCTCCAGTGGCCTCCTGATACCAAATTGGAAGAAGTGTTAGACAATGGGTGCATGGATTTGTACATTTAATTTACTTCCACACTTATTCTTATATTTCTCATAAAATTATCTTATCTAATACTATTGTTTTGAGTTTGCTGCCTTATTTATAATATAATCCAAGCCAAAATATAATCATGTTTTCACTGTCAGGCACTTATCATAGAATCCACTCACTCCATTAAAATCTTTTTTTTTCATCTTTACCAAATGCTCCCACTTCTGCTTTGTTTATAATATTACTTACACTATTGTTAGGGTAAAGGATAATAAGAAAACTCCCATTCGTGTGCATAATTCTAACAATAAGTAGTAATAGAACTACGCTAATATTTCCTTTATAACCGTGGTGTTGTGGTGGTAGGTGATACAGAGGCGAATGGACGGATCTGTAGATTTCTACCGAGACTGGAATGCCTACAAGAAAGGGTTTGGTAACCAGCAAACAGAGTTCTGGCTGGGGAACGACAATATTAATGCTCTGACGGCCTCAGGTGAGTCTTATACTTCAGTGGTGTTTGGTCTCTGATGTTCATTGTAATGATTTTTAATCACTGGTGTGAATATGTATCTTCTATCTTAGTTAAAAACTAAGCTCTGACACTGAATAGGAATAGTGGAAGAAAGAGATCCATACAGTAGGATTCAAAGACATAAAGACTGAATTTAATAATGAATTCAATTCATATTAAGTCTACTAATGTTATTTTGTAACTTTAGTAGTAACTTAACAAGAAATATCAGAAACAGGAGAATATCATCTGTCAAGTCATGACACCTGAGTATCAATGGGAGTAGTGTTGACATTTAGTTGAGTCCACAAATTTACAGCCCTGCTGAGCACCTCTGAACAGTGAGACATAGTAGATGTCATTGACACAGTTTCAAAACAATCATGAATTTATTAGAGTGCACAAAGTCAAACTATTGTAGAGTAGGCCAATGGTAGTTTCATCCATGTCAATGAATTCAAATCCTCTCTCTGGGGACAATATGTTTTTTTTAAGTTGTGCAAAAGCATGTAAACAATAACATACTGAATGCCCATCAACTGAATTTTTGTAGAAGTAAAACTTATAATTAATTTTCTGATTTTTTGTTTTGCATTTAAGGGAATTTCCAATTAAGGATAGATCTGAAAGATTTCGATGATATTGCTACTTTTGCCAAATACCAATCCTTCAAAATTCTGGGAGAATCAGACAAGTACAAGCTCCTTCTGGGAAATTTCATGGGTGGTACTGCAGGTAAGTTCTCACTTTGATTTGTTCACCCCCTGACTTCCTAAGAGGTAATTCAAGAATAAAAACTTATTAATTATTCATTTGAAATATGTCTTGGTAATATTATGATTTTGCGTTGCTTCCTTTACACATAACTGACATTGAAAGCCTCTACACTTCACCTTCAGTTTTTCTTTTCACTTGAAATCCTTTCACTTTTCATTTTGAAATCCCTTATAAAATGACCCGGTTCAAAAGTTGTTTCTAGCACAGTTATATACTGTCATTTTTCCAAATGTTATGTTAATCATGTTTCACATTATCATCTGTTTGTTTAATAATGTAAAATAAATGTAATATATAAACTTTTGTAAATGTTTTGTGGTTGTAAAGGGATTTAGTGTAGGAGAATTAAAATTACAAAAAATGGCTTGAGAAAGTTGTTGTTTTATTTTGCTAATTGATAATAAGATGAAAAATGTTGGTTTCTAAACCTGCAATTTCATTAGGCATCATGAATGTTGCTAACCTCCCAATCAGTTTAGGAAAAAAAATGTTTTAATTCAGCATACAGGTCATCATTGTCTTTTGCATATTCAAAAACAAAACTGCAAATGTACATGTTAACTCTTGGTGGAAAACATGACTATAACAGTAAAATAGAAAATACAGTAGCTGCTACAATACTTTAAAACATAAAGGAAAGGCAGGAAAGGTTAAATTAATTGCTCATTACAGTGTTCAATTTGCTAATATAACAAGTTAGCCTGTTGCATGGGATAAGTTTCTCTAATTCAAATGTGAAAACTGAATAATAATCAAACAGAAAAATAAGTGCAAATTCCACATTTACACAATTCACACTTGAAAATTGACCACAAAATATGATGCTTAACATGAAAAAAACTGTCAGGCAGAAATGGCAGTTTCTGGAATCACGTAAACCCCAGATATTTTTCCCAGTGGCGGAAATATTGTGTCAAAATTAATAACTTTTAACAGGTTTTTCTTTCAATAAATAGACCATTTAGTCTAAAATACATATAAAGTAAATGTAGAAAAATGAAAGTAATAGCAGACCATTAATAAAACTACAAGAACGTTATTCTACCAGTACTATTATATAATTTAATAAGATCTCATATGGCATACATATTGCTAGGTTCAGTTAATGAATGTGATGTTTTTTAAATATTATGCTGTTATATGTAAGATGTGTGAAGCTCACATTAAGCAGTGCTGCATTTGTTGCAAAAATATAACCAGCTAAAAAGAAGAAACATCTGATGGCTCCAGACCTTGCAATTTTTCTAAAAATGTCTTCATCTTCTCCCCACAGGAGATTCCTTGACAAGCCACAACAACCAAGCCTTTTCTACCAAAGAGCAAGACAACGATAGTTATGGTGGTGGTAACTGTGCCACTGCATATTCAGGAGCCTGGTGGTATAATGTGTGCCATGATTCCAACCTTAATGGTCTTTATCTGAAGGGACATCATGACAGTTTTGCCAATGGAATTAACTGGCACAGTGGAAAAGGATACAATTATTCCTATAAGTACAGTGGTATGAAAATAAGACCTCAGTAAGTTTGTACAAGGAAACAGCACAGGGGGAAATTTCTGATTCTTTTCAATGATTGTCACAAGAAAATATGTTTAATCATATTTTGTTTCAGAAACTTGAAGACATATTTCTATATATATTTGTTCCTGACTACTATACCTGAAACTCTTTGAATTTGGAACAACCATCAGTGCTCAGACCTCAATTCTGTAATTCATCCCCACAAACACAATACGGTTATACTACAGTATATTTTGTAGAAATATAGCTTTAATGCAATTTTTACCTATTAGGAGTGTCATTAGACATCAGTCATTAGAAAATTAAAACTGGGAATAAAATGCTTTGGTAAGTAAACCTTCACGAATACAGTACAGTATGTACCTCAAGAAGGGTAATGTGCTAAATTATTTTACTATCGGATTATAAAAATCCCTGTTTTGAGCTACACATATATGCTTTACTGCACAAATATGTTCACTATTCCTTTTTGTGCTTGTTTTTGTAACTGCTTGTCTATATAAATGGGAAATGTTCCAGCTGGTACTCTGACTTGCCTGTTGTTCCCTTGGCTAAACAATTCCTGTATGCATACATAATAAACTTACTGTGCCTTTCTCAGCAAACTGACTAAGAATTTCTTTTCTACAATTTTCTACAATTGTATGACAATTTTAATAAAATGTTGTGTATTAGCTGTGTTTCACATTTACATTAGTGGTTATTCATAAACTGTCCACTATTCACCCATCCATTTTCTAACTGCTTTATCCACAACTTAGGCAAGCAATGGGCACATGGTATGATACATCCTCGATAGGATTACAGTCCATTGAAGGACTCATACAGATGCTAACACACACTCACACCAGAACCATAGTAGAAAATGTAACAGGGTTGGAATACATGAATCGCAAGGCGAGGAACACAGGAGCAAGAGAACAAATCCTTTGAGAGGGACTAAGCAAAACACTCCACCAGAATATAGTCAGCATGAACCTTCAATAACCTGAACCACCTGAGGCAAGCATGGTCATAAATTGTTTTCAGGTGATACATGTCTCCTGTATGATTATATATGCATAGCAAACAACATTGACTGACAGGTGGGTAGAAGCATAGCTCACTGTCATGGTAATACTGACTCACTCCGTATCTCTCCAGAGAAGGCGAAAATGACAAATACAATATATCATTTTCATGATATAATAATAAAACAATACAAGAGAGAATATATATGAATGACTGTTGTTATACAAGTAGCTTTTCAATGACTCATGGATTGCAAATACAATAGCAATAATACTATATAATTTCTATAATACTTGTTGGGACTAGCCTCATAAATAGTCATACACTCATACAATTATATCAACATTCGTATGCTCAAAAAATGTTATTAGAAAACAAGGATTTCAATTATTTTCCAGAATTTATTATCAGACAGAAAAGTATTTAGAATAATAGGTTAATTCAATATTGTTATAAAATTAACATTTAATATTTACTAATCGAAAACAGATCCAAAGGCTTGCCTAGACTGTTCTGAGGAGGCTTTTAAAAGTTTTGCAGGGAGAATCAGAAAAGAAGAGATAAGGATTTTGGTTAGCATTGTACTGAAGACACCTTCTGAAATGGAACATACACCTCATCTTTAAGGCTTGGAAACACGGCCACAAGTCAAGACTTAGTTGGGAAGAAACTTGGAAATTAATAAATAAATATTCAGTGGTGTCAACAAAAGTGGTGTCTTGCATTATGTTGTTGATATGACAAAATTACAGTTAGGAACTCATCACAAAATTACACTTGCCACAAAAGAAAATTTGGGTGGAATTGTGGATAATGAACAATCTTCCACCCAGGTAGTTACTTTCAGCTACGTTTGTTCCTGTTACAGGTCAGTTAGTAGTGATCACAGTCATGTGATTTTATTTTTGTTACTACCTGGATTTCAAAGATGATTGGAAACTGTTTTAAAGGTTCTATCAAGTTGTGCTGTCAAGGGTGATAATTAGTTGTTACATCACTAAGTCTAGTGACAATTGCCTAACTACGATACCCCTCACTGGAAGTTCACTCTGGCCCTGTGAGTGGATTTATGAGACATGACTTCCATCTGGTGTTCAGGCCCAGATGTGTTTTTTTCTTGGAGTTGGAGACTATTTGTCATCCATGTGGGCACTTCATCACTGGATATGTAAAGAATATCTTTATGGTTGGTTATCCAGATTAACGGCATCATTTTAGCTGCAAGAAATGTCTAAAGTGACAAAAATTTACTTAAAGGAGTTAAACAGTCCAGGTTTATTTTCTGTTCAAGGCAGTACAAAGATTATTATTGTCTCTCTGAGCACTTTAATAATACAAAATCACACATCTAATGTTCTTCTTTCTCCTTGTTCGCAATCTCTGGCTGCTCTTTCTTGTTCTGTTCAACCCCTCTTTTCAAAACTCTCAATCTAAGAACCCATGTCTTCCAGCTTCCTTCATGTTGTAAAATTTAATATGTGTTCTATTTTTGCCCCACCTCTGGCAACATGCCTGGCTCTGAATCAACATTTTATTGCCTCAATCTAATCTCCAATTATAGAGCATACATTCATGCATTATAGTTTTATTTATGTCACTAAGCACTGACTCTCACATGAGATCAACCACACTGCACACATGTCATGGCTCCCTTCTACACCTGCTCAAAAAAGGCATACTAAAGTGCTCTTGCAGACAAGACAAGATTGAGTATTGAACTCTTCATATCTTTCACTGCCTTCCTCTTTGCCTTCTCATTCAACACCTGTGAAAACTTATTCGAGATTAATAAATATTACATGACACTTCTTGATTTTCACAGAGACATAAAATCCATATCAAATTGAAAACTATCAGATAAAGAAACTCTTCCACCTACTGCATACAGTATTCACAAAGGTTTACATCCTTGTTTTATGTGCCCTTGGTGCCTGGATTCTGTTTTACATTGAACAATCATTAATCCCCTTCAGTCACATTTTGTAGTATTTTTCACTGAAACTAATAATAATTTAGTCCTTGTACATGGACAGAATTTCATAGCACATAAATATAAATAAACTTTATTTGCAGGGCTTGCTATGAAATGCACCTGACAATCAAAGATGTTCAAAAATCATAAGTTTTAATACATACTTTCTATATAATACACTCTAATTTTTTGCATTTTGAAACCTGAAATAAATGAACAATTTAGCTAAACGTGAGTGACAATTGTAATCCTTACATGTAGACAGCACAAATCTTTGATTTTTTCTGAAATTACTGCAGCAGGTAACGTGAAAAAGAAATACTGCAAAATTAAAGCAGAATCAAAAAAGATACAATAAAAAAAATTCTGGAAAACTACTACTGTTTAAGTTTCAAATTAATTTGGAGTCATTTGGGTAAGCTTCGGAATGCAACATTTTAAGACAAGGTATTTGATATTTTCTGGAAGTGCCCGAGCTAGGGTTACGGTTCTGTAATGCACTTCCTTTGTTCTAGGATGAAAAGCAGGAAAAGTGTTGTGATGATTCCTCAAAAAATAAATTTGGCCCAATTTTGCAGGCTTTGCAAAGCTATGTACCTGTCAATCAAATATAGAAAAAAATTACAAGTTAAAAGATAAAACATCTAAATGCTAAACTTTTGGAGCATGTAAAACCCCCCAAATCAGTTTAGCAAAACATGAGTGATAATTGTAATCCTAAACTTTAGTCCAAAATGCTTAATGTGGCAGTTTAACGACCTTTTCAAAGTATCTGCTGTGAGTCTGATTTCATTTTCCAGTACTTCTTTTTCGCCTTACCTGCTGCTAGAATGGCAAATACAAATCAACGTGTTTGGGGCCATTTGCAGGTCAGAAGTACAAATATCACTCACGTTTTGCTAAGCTTTTGGTATCAGGTTTAAATGTAAGAAACAAGTCAAATTAGCCCGTAGAAGGGGTTTTAAAAAACTTCTGATGCTTGACCCATTTTTGGCAGGCGCACAGCTTAGCAAAAACGGCAAATTTGAGTCAAATTAATTTTTCCTGGAAATAAAACAACACTTTTCCTGCTTTTCACACGTGTCCTAGAGCACAGCAAATGCATCACAAAATGTCTAGGTGTTGTTCAAAATCTAACCCTAACCCTAGCTCTGGCATTTCCGTAACATTTATCAAAAACCTTGCCTTGAAACCCTGTGTTCAAAAAGTTACCCAAATGACTCCAAAGCAGTCCAATATGCTTAAAGTGGCAGTTTGATGACCTTTTAAAAGTAACTGCTGTGAATCTGCTTTCATTTTCCAGTATTTCTTTTATGCCTTATGCCTTTTTCGCTGCTGGAATGGCAAATAGAAATCAACGTTTGGGGCCGTCTGTAGGTCAGGAGTACAAATAACACTCATGTTTAGCTAATCTTATGGTTTAGTAATAATATCTGCCTTGAGAATATTTTTATTTTACTTTGGTGCTTGATAATAATGATTTTCCTTATCATTTTTCATTTTTATGATTCCTAAATTTTGGTAATTCTCTAATCATACTCTTAAAGTTTGGTAACAAAATATATTCAAATAAATTCAGTACAGAGAAAAATTACTAATTTCAATTTAAGTACATTTTGAACTTTGTGAAAAGACTGTATAGTCCCCATATTGTTGCAAACCCCTGGTCTTGCACAATTTCCACCAATTGTGACGTGATGCTAGTCTCATGACTAAAGTAATGTGATGTTCAAGCGAATCAGTGATTTGTGTAGCAGAGATTTCATCGCAGGAATGATCCAACATGAACTGCATGTAGTTATAGTATCAAGTAGTATTCATTGGCAAAACCATTTTGAAATCGAGAGCAATATTGTATTGAAGAGATGTACAGTATACTCATGCTGGCTTGTTTACAGTATAATAGTGCCACTTCACATCACCGGAAGTTTTGTTGCCTCATTCTTATTGCAGAAAATAGTGTAGCAAATTACTTGAAAATGTTATCTATTTTATTATATAAATTGGAGGTTTTACAAGTTACTGTGTACATTTTACTTTTATTGTGGTTTGAAATGTACTTATAAATGCCAATTAAAAAATCAGAATTTTTTCTTTTGCATACTCAACAAGAAAACTGTTCTGGGACTTGCAATATTATAAAAAAGACAAACATACACGTACATCCTTACCTGTTCACACCTTTGGAAACCAGAGCACTTGGAGGAACCCCACATGTACAGTACACAGGGATGACATACAGTACAAACTCCATGCAGGTAGCACTCCAGGAATTGAGCACAGGGCCCTAGCACTGCAAGGCAGGCATTCTAATCACTGCACCAAAATGCTGTCCAGCAAACTTCCCATTCCTACAGTATGATTATTCTACTTTTAAGCATCTTTTTTATTAAAAAAAAAAAAGAAAACATGGACTGGCTTATCACAGATTTGCTGAATCACTTGTCTGGATCTTTCCAGGAGATAAATCAAGGATGAACAATTCCAGTCATTGTGGCACTGATCATCTTCTGGTTTTCATTTCTGCCTTCAACTTGCAGACAGACCTACTGTAAAAACATGATCTGAAATGTCAAACTAATTTTTTTTTTGAAGTTAATAATTTCTAATTAAAAAGTACCACTGAATCTTGCAATTGACTACAATTGACATGGGAATTAATTGCTCATGCTGCCTCACAGTGCTGGGGACCCAGATTCAATTCCAGACCCGAGGTCCTACCTGCATAGACCTTGTACAGTATGTTCTCTCCGTCTTCATGTGGGTTTCCTCCAAGGGCTCTGCTCTCCTTAATATAAACATTGTCCATAAATATGGTAGTGGGTAAAGTGGCTTCTTGGAAAATTAGCCCTAGGTTAGAGTACAGTATGTGTTTGTATTTACCCAGCAATGACCTAGCATCCTGTCCATAGTGTACCCTGCCTTACACCCATTGTTTGCCAAAGGCTCCAGCTCACCTGCAAAACTGAACTAGAAGATGCAGTTAGAAAATGGATGGATGGATTTCTATTTGGGCTTAATATCATCTTCAGCTTCAAATTCATACGGTTTCAATTTCATCATCCACTTCACGTTATATTTGAATACTATGTGGCACTCCAGGTCTACTTGTCAGAGAGAAGGTTAAAACGGTCATCCTTCACACATCAGTTGGTGTTAAGATAATGTAGTACAAGTTTATTTGAATGGCTTATTTAATTTCTTAAAGGTAACTCCTCAGCAGTATCATATGGTTATGTCATAGCAGAAACTTCATGGTCATTCACTCTCCAATATGAAAGAACATACAAAATATTTTTAAACATATGATGTACAGTAAATTAACTAAATGTGTAGAATGTTTAGAATAGCATAGTAAATATACCTTAATGTGCAGCACAAGTAATATTAAGCCCTTTTTAAATTCTAAATTCTAATAACATCTGTCTTAAGTATGTACTGTATATAGTATTGAAGTAAGCTATCATATCAAAGCAATAATATAAAATCCATCTATTCATCCTCCAGTTCATAAAGTACTTATAAAGTTTACCAGACATATAACCATGAACATGCTGATTTGCAGACCAACTCACAGTGCAGGAGAATGTATTAGATTATGTCTTATATTAGAGAACTGTCCCAAGAAATGTATTTGAATTGCTGAGTTTGCTTTATTATAAATTCATTTTCTAACCACTTTATCCAAAAGAGTCAAGAGGGAGCTGAAGTCTATTCTGGCAAGCAATGGGGACAAGGTGGAATACATCAAGTATGGGATGCCAGTCCAAGGCTGGGCACATACAGACATGCACACTCACACTATGTACAATTTTACCAGAATCCACTTAACTTTCCATGGTCCAGGGGTGGGCTGGGGGGGACATCTGAGTAACTGGAAAAAAAATCACACAGGGGAGAACACACAAATTCCACACAAATAACACACCAGTTCCAGAACTGAATCCAAGGTCTTAGCTGGACTGTGAGTCAACAATGCTAACCACTGTGCCATTTTTCCACTGTATACCAAAAAAATGGGGAAATGTCCAAACCATATGCTTGTAGAATGTCTAATACTTATCAATGTATTTATCAATATACGGTATATGAATGGTGTCCTAGTGGTGTTGATTTTTTGGCTTCAGATTTCCTGAATAGGTAAACATGACAGTATATTTTAAATCAGGTGGGTAGCTGCGTCAGCATGCGCACGCTGCAAAGGAACAAGTAATAGGTTTATTCCATACTGAAAAAAAAGAAGAAAGAGAACACAACGTTTCGGCCGTGGAGCCTTCTTCCGGAAGGCTTCCTGAAGAAGGCTCCACGGCCGAAACGTTGTGTTCTCTTTCTTCTTTTTTTTTCAGCATGGAATAAACCTATTACTTGTTCCTTTGCAGTATATTTTAAAGGCTCTAATGGTTAATCAAAGAAGAATTGTTAAATATAAACACTTTTAGAGCCATCAGCTATAGTAATAGTAAAGAATGATACAACTCATAGATGTGAGTAATTTTTAAAATTCTTGAAAAATTGTTTCAAAGTATTGATTTTCATCACAGCTTCACACAGTACCCAAAATATATTATAAGTCATGTTAATTAATAATATTAAGAATATATGAATAATGGCCTGATATTCTACTACAAACATTATTAAAAGTAATTTTTCATTTGCATAAATAATACAAGTGATTTAAAATAAATTGGGGCAGATTACACTGACCACTGTGAGATTTAAGTTTTCAATCCTTTGACACACTATTTCTTAAAATTCCAGTTAAGATAGCGTTGTTCTTCTTTACAGACATAAGGCAGACTCAAAAGCAAAATAGAAAACTGAAATTCAAGAAACTGATTAAGCAACATGACCAGACACACTCAAATTCATCTTCTGATATGTTTATTATAATTTCAAGATTATAGGCAATTAATGAAGCACCAAGTTTAAGATGAACAAACATTGTATTTTTGGACTGTTTTGGCTCACATTTGCAGTATTTGAGTCAGAATTCAGACATGATAAAAGGGACAAGTACGTAATACCAAGTTTCAGGTAAAATTCTGCTTCACTGAAATCTTTAAGTTTAAACATTGTAAGAAATATCTGTCATCGCAATCTGTTTTTCAAAGATTCCTATAAAGTATGCTTAGGGAACAATTTTAAATTTATGGGAGGACTTTGACGTTTAGAAATGCTGAACATTCCAGGGAGCACCCAATCCAGACATATTAAAATATTAGCTGTGCTCAAATGAGGACATTTTAAAAATCCTTGCTACCACTTCTAAAATATTTCTTTCTTCCTGTTATTTGTATGGTTCACATCCATCTGGACCTCATTGTTGTAATGGATTATTCAAGGGAAAAGGAAAACCAAATGTCCCTGTCCTCTTCTGGCAACACAAACCAAATTAAATGGGAGTTACTGAGGACAGCTGTGCTATTCAACCTGGATTGTGTTGCAAGAGTGTGCGATCAACACTGACTAAAGGGATTTACTGCTGATTAAATCTGAATAATTTGCAAGGCATTGCAATCATTTTATTATCAAATCATGGGAAGAAATTATTTTAAAATCCTTGCTCCGACTTCTAAAATATTTCTTTCTTCTTGTTATTTGTAAGGTTCATGTCCAACTGGACCCCACTGCTGTGCTGTATTATTCAAGTGGAAAGGAAAGCATGGGTGGAGAATGTGTTAAACATTTTGCGGGAAGAAATTAAACAAACTGATGTGTCTCCTAACTAATAAACAAGGACATCTATCCACCCATCCACTTCAGCGTCACGGGGGATCCAGAACCTATCTAGGCAAGCAACAGGTGTAAGGCAGGATACACCCTGGACAGGACTCCAGTCCATCATAGGTGACACAGTAAACAGACACGCACACACTCACACCAAGTGATTACAGGTGAAATACTAATAGGTGTGAGCACAGCAGCACTGTTTCCACATATGTTTAACAATCCTTTTTGCTTTCTGGTGTATTCAGCCAGCCGACAGCTGATATAAGAGAAAGTCAATTAGAGAACATGATGTCAGTGCAGATGTTCTATTTAGTTTTGTGGTTGTGGTTTTGCAAAATTTGTTGACATTACAGTAACTATTTTAAAGACCAACAGATGTAAAAAAAACAATGTTTATCACAGAGGATTGGACATCCTTACTTTCCACCTTTCCCCATGCAGGTACAATGCGCATGTTTGATGAAGTCAGAAATATGCATAATTCTGTTTTATGAAATCAATAAAGAGAGTATCCAGGTCTTAATTTTGACACTGTGCCAAACTACATAGAAAAAGATCTGGAATATTAGTATACTCTGGTACTTTCATGTGAGTGTCCACTGCACACAGTGACCATCAGAAGGACAGAGATGGAAAAACACTTTGTGAATTTATTAAACTTACCAAAAAGTTCTGAGGTTTGTTTCACAGCAGGACTAGATTTTGTTTTTAACATTTAAATGTCTAAACCATTGACACTTCTGTCATTCTGTATCAACTAGCAATCCATTTGTAATATGCAGAAAGGGCTCTGATGACAAAGGTTAAGACAGGATAATCATATTTTTTCCAGTCTTCTTTTTGTTATAATATATATATATAGTCTTATATATATATACAGTACATACCCAAATTTAGACCTGAAGGTTGTGTGATTTCAAGCCTTACCACTAACCCTGCTGCCACTCACAGCGAGAATAAGGGTACAGACAGAATCCTCTGAGCCACTTGCCTTCACTGTAGACCGTGCAGCCCAGTACGAGATGATCAATGCTTATTGGAGAAGAGGCTCATTCCACCGTATAAGATCAAAATAATCCCTCAACCTCATTGGTGATATCAAATTTATTCAAATAAATCTGTCGTGAAAGCTATGGTTAAGTTCTTTGCCGCTGAAGACATCTATGCAATGCTAAGCATGGTGTCTGCTTCTGTCTGCACTGGAACTGAGTGGCAGAATAGGTCTAACAAAACTACTAATACAGGGAAAATGTAAAGCAGAGCAAACTTAATGGCAGCTGTTTCACAGTTCTCTCTGTAGTGTGAAAATTGATCATAGCACCAAAAGGTTATTTCTAAATCATTCATCGTGACAAAATATTTTGCAGAAATGGTAGAGAGTATGGATAGCCATACACAAAACATTCATGAATTAGTTGTTAAAATTTTCCATTGGATTTTCACTTTTAAAGAACACTCAAAAACGGCAGCCATTGAGTCGAGCTTCAGAAAGGAAAAAGATATGAGGGAGGCAGCTTGAGCACATTGCTGCTACAGCTGTCAAGATGCAACAAGCAGTTTAAAACTACCTAAAACATTTAAAACAAAGGTCTAGTAAATAGAAAGAACGTCTACTGCTCTACTTTTTTGGAACATTATTTAAAACAAAAACAAAACACAAAATAGGTTTGCTTTCCTAAAACTGCTTAACAAAAAAGGCCCAAAAATTACACCTCAGGCAGGAGGCTGTCCAGTGTAGAGGAGTCAGCTGGTTCATGCAAGACCACAAAGCCTTTTGGTTCCTCACTCCCTTTTAACCTTCAGTTCACTTCCAGTAAAAATGCACTAGAATTTCCCTTAAATTAATTTCACTAGAACGTCAAACTAAATTAAATAATGCACTGGATTATGGGATCATTAGCTGTAAAATATTTTCAAGAATTGATGCAAGTGTCTGGAAATTTCTTTCAGTTAACCAAAGCATGAAATGAGGGTTCCACTGCCCTAATTTGGATCTGGCAACCCTGACGCACCTGTTCTAATCTACATTTTATTTCCTTTCATCGACCCTCAAGTGTTTAAGCAATCCACAGCACCAGGATCACTGGAACAATTAAGGGTTAATTAAACGGATGAAACACAAGCTAGGTCAAAGCCCTGTAGCAGAACACAATGGAAGTGCCAAGATCTCCCACACCAGTCTCAGAGAACGTGTGTGTGTGTGATTTTCTAAGCCCCGTGCACTGCTGCCGGGACAAATCATATTAATATATATGAATATAAAAATGTATAAATGGGGGACATAATTGGCGAGTGTGAATTAAAGAAAGAAGAATCCAAATTAAATTCCCTCATATCTGGATGAAGAAGCTGCGTGGCTGTGTCATGAAAGTCGGAGATTTACTGATCAGGGAGAGAGGGCCAGGCTACCACTTGTAGTCCGGCGAGCTGGCCGCCTGGTTCTCTGGCCTGTATTGCGTGTGAAGGACCTGCCGAGCCCTGGGGGAGTCAGCTCCCTCCAGCCAGTCCTGGTAGAGCCTGTGCACCTGGGGGCTAGTCTCTGGTAACCTCATTGGCAGGCTGGTGTACACCTCCTCCATCTGCTGCAGCAATGCCCGGTCCGGTTTCCCGCTTTCCAGCTGCGCCTGGCCTTTCCCATTCAGACAGCCTGGCAGACCAAGATACGCAGAACGTTAACTGCAGCTCCACTAACGTAACCCAAGACAAGCATGACTGCTTATGGAACAGATTAAGGTTTATTCCATGCTGAAAGGAAAAGAGACAACTTTTTGGCAGTGGAGCCTTCTTCAGGTGTGTGAATGCTTCTTCAGGTTTGACTGGTTATAAACATCAAACCAGGGAGCACTTGCATTTCATATTAATATTCTTCTATACAAGTCCCTTTCACTTCTGTTGAGATTAATTCTATCTTTGAACCTGAAAATACTGCAGCAAAAGTCCAGAGTCCGCAGCACAAATTTGCATTTTCTCTCCTAAGTGCAGACACAAAATGAAGAGGCAAAAACAATATTCTGCAATGGACAGATTATTTTCTATTGCACACATATTTCTATGTAAGGGAGTTATACAGTACATCTATAAAATATGTTGGCCTTATTGATTCATATGACATGACAGCACATGGTGGTCATAAGATACCATAAGAGTTGGTGTTACAAAAGTGTCCGCTGTCTCTGTTAGCTTGGAAGGCCTCTAACCAAAAGAGAAAGCCTGCTATCACTGAGTTATAGAAATAGTTTAACCTATAAGAGAAGCCAAATGTACCTTCTCTTTTGAACTTCTGAGGTTACTCTGATACTGTGTTGAACTACAGGGAGGTTTATGGTACATATTCCTAGTGTGTACCTTCCACTTTAGCCATTTTTATATATTTTGTACACTTTTCTATGAAAACTGATGATTCAACAAATAACCTGCTCTTTCAAAAGTCAGCTTGATAATCCATAGCAGTTATTATTAAAATAGAAACTGCACCTTTATCTTATGACCACATCCAATTTACTAAAAGATGGAAATTTAAAAACACTGAGTTAAACCTAAAGTTAAATAAAAGGATTTTATAAACCTAAGAATTTACAAATTAATCACAGTAATCTTTTAAGAATAACAGATGAGACAATGGAAGACTGTGGACCAGACCTGTGAAAACCCATACTCTTTGAAACATTAGGTTTGAATTACTTGCCTCCTGGACAGGAAAGCACCTCCACCAACTGGTAAGGGAACTTTCCTTTCTTGAGCTTTTGAATCATGTTCTGTATATTTCTGAAGCCATATACAGCAGCAAACTGTAAGAGTGTTTCTCCATCCTTCTCCAGTGTCACCTCCTGGAAGTCCCGGTTCCTGAGAGGCAAGAAAGGAGTAGAGCATGAGGAATTAATTCACACATTTTAGGAAAAACTGTTCAATGTTCTGTTGTGTTCCTGTGTACAGATTATTGTGTAAAAGTTCAAATTAATATACCTGCAATATACCTGCAGTCCCTGCAATGGTAAGGCTTATTTATCTATGTCAGACTTCCCTCACTTTCATAAATAAAAACAACAAAACCCTGATATAAATTCACAGTTTAACCTGAATACAACACACATTTTTTGTTTTAAGGGCTTTTAATTTTGGGAACTAAATAATTTATATTCCAAATAAAAATAGTTCACTTTCATTGCTGCATACAATATGCTTAAAAAATATTTTTTAATGCTTATATACAATAGGCAAACAAGTCTCTTCTAGTTGATCTGAAGATATTATAAATGCCAATTTATAGTTTTTAGAAGGTATGTATGTAACCCACTTTGGAATAACTTACAACCAGAGAACGATTGTAAAACCATTTGATGATGAGTGTCACATTCAGATTTGGTAAATGTAGCCAACAACTTTATTCCTTAGTACAGGGAGTCTTTATATGGTGAGCATTCCAGAAGACCCAAACAGACACAGACCCAAAGCACTCACTTCAGAGTCTTATAAACTATTTCCT